AAGGGCGGACCAACTTTATGTTGAAGGTCATTATGTGTATGCATTGTATAAGTATTGTGGGATATAATATTATGGGGATCTCACTAAGCTTTGTGCTTATCCAATTGATTATAAATGGTTTTCAGGTACTCCATCATATAATAAGAAGGGCGAAGCTCGACTGTACGCACGCATTGGCAACATGTTTCCGCATACACTTTGAAATAAGATAAATGGATTTTGGATGTAAAACATTGGTCCTTGTCACGAATAAATGGAATGTTGTTTTATAAAAATGAAAAAAAATTACCTTGAAAATCGGGACGTTACAAATGTTATACTTGAACCGTTTAAATTGATCAAACCATTCCACAACAAAATGTATGTACTGCGCACAAACTTTTTCTGATGGAAAATTATATCCATTTGGTTGACAATGTCCTTTAATTAATTATGTCCTCCTTATTTCATCAATTTAATTTGGATTATAAGATGTAATATTTGAGCTATCCCCGGGTCTTAAGAAAGATCATTCAAATCAAAGCTTGTTGGTGTAGGTATTGTAATGGTAGGTTGTGGTCTTGGTGAACTTTTATTAGAGTCATTCTTTTTGGAAGATCCTTCACCATTTTCATCACTAACGACTTCTAACTTTCTTTTATAAATTTTACCAATTTTAACGTAAACTACAAATTTACAAAGAAAGATTTCAACAAATTAACATTCCTTTCTAACTAACAAGTAATAACTAATTTCAAGATTCAACAAAAATACTTGATTTCAATAACCAAAATAAGTAATCGTTAAGCAATAACTAAGTGCTAACCCTAATAAAACAAACCTAATTGCTAATTTCTAGTATTTCCAAGTTTTAAGAAAATAAGAAATAATTGAAATAACCCTAAAAACTTGCTTAAATGTTTAATGTTTACTTGTTTCATTCTTTGAGGTAGAGAGAGAGAGAGAGGTCGTTGGAGTTGTGGGCGTGTCAGACGCGACAATGGCAGTGAAGGTTACTGGAAAAAACGTTGGAAGTGGGAGAAGCAGGGATAGAGGCGTGCATGCATGGCATAAGAGAGAGGAGATCAACTTTCTATTTCTTTCTTTCGTCCTTCATCGAACACCAAGGGACAATAATCCAACTTCATTAAACTATTGGGTCATTCTGTTTGGATATTGGGCTCTTTTTTATTTGGGCTATTTAATTATCATATTATTCAAGTTTGGACTATTTTCTTGTACTAAAAAATGTAGGTGTAGCACAATTATTTTTCAGTGGTTCCATCTATATGTAAAAAACTAGGTTACAACCCGTGGAAACTACGGGTAACAAAAATTTATAAAATACTATTAAAATAATAAGATATAAGTTTTGTTTAAACTTTTATATTGATTGTTTAAAATTAATACATATTTTTTTTGAATATCTGATATGCGTTATGCATGTGAATACATTTAATAAAATCATGATTTATAGAACATAATATAAATTTGAATATAATATAAATTTGAATGTAAAAAAAAACATATCAAATTTCTTCCTTTGTGTATAAGGTTTTACAGAATAATAAGATCTAAAGGGCAGAAATCATGAGTACAACCTTCAAATTTATCAAAATAATTTACCTTACAAATCTTGATCATTTCTACAAGCTTATTTAAATCTTAAATGTTTCAGCCAACTTTTTTGCAAATATAAATGTTAAAAAAGAAATTAAAAAAAGTACACACTTATTTGCTTTTGGTTTTTTGTTTATTGTAATGAAACCTTCAGCACCACAAACAATGTCTTGCTGGCAGATAAAGGAATTGAAAAGTTAAGTAGCATTAGAATCAAGTGTTATTGATTCTTGATGGTTAGATATAAGAAATAAACAACAAATGACTTCCTTACCATCAAGCTTAGCTTGTGATTTTTGTAGATCCGTAGAGCTTCAAAATAAGAGAAATTCCCAGGCATGAAAAATCTATAAATTACATGTTATAAAGAAGCTTACAAAAACACCCCCTTTTCCATCCAATCCCCTATTAAGTATCTATATAAAACCTCAGTTTCCTACATGCACAATTAAACATCGAAACCAATTTCCTACATAAACAATTAAACATCGAAATCAATCACTAAACTTACTAAAGTTTTCTAGGTAAATTCAACAAAAAATAGAAACACCCAAATTTTGATTTCATATAAATGAATATAATGATACACCCATTTGAATATTAACAAAATGGAGAATAAAACACTTACATAATTGCAAAAAGTGGTAATTTTGTTTTCCATTAACATGAATAATCCTAAAGAAAATTAGCCAAAATATACACCTAAATCCAAAATCATGTCATAATGGCTCCATGCATCCTTTAATTTGTCCGTCTTAATAAATTCACCTAATAACAATTCTTTCACATCCCTTAAATATTAATTGAACTAAAAGGATGCAATTTTATATCTGATAGATTACGAATAAAAGGTTTACCTCATCCAACAAAATCAAAAAGTTTTGACTCCAAGTCCATAGCAACAAAGGTAAACTTGAAGTACTCTAGAAGAATCATCACATGTTTTTCTTTTGGGCAGAACTTCATTACAAGTTCTTCATTTTCCGATAGTTAGCGCCTGAAAAATGATCCCAAACAAACCATAAACCAAGAAAAGCCATAAAAATGTCAATATGAGTTTAAAAGATAAGAAAGGAAAAAAAGTAACAAATTCAAATAAGAAAAAATTTAATATTTATATGTCTTTGTGCCTCATCAATAACAACATAACACCATTGAATCGGGGAAAGAAAGCCATCATCATTTAATGTTGTATCATATTTGTGATGAGCACATCAACAGGTAACGCATGTTTCTGCAATAACTCATCACATCACCATATACACATGAGTCTGTTAGAAGTAATTTATATCAAGTTCTATAAATTGTAAAAATCTTATTGAAAATTTGTACATCCATACTTCCTTTGTTTTGTAAAAACAGAAAACATATTTAAACTTTGATGAGTGTTAATATCATCGGTTGCAAAATCAAAATAAAAACACACCTGATTACCTACAACACATTTGGGAAAAGAAAAGATTAAAAATACTAATATGGTGTTCTTTAATGATACCCCTTCAATTTCACAAGAAAAGTATATGAAAAATGATACATATAACATGACTAATAGTACTCATCAACTTCATGTAGTTAGGGCTTCAATTTTGGTATGCTTTAAAATAAATTCAGTTATAACATGCTTCAGCGTAAAAACAACATATCAAAAGACATAAAATTTAAAGCAACTAATTCGATAATCAGAACAATCAAGAAAAATTAAGAGGTATTAGTGCTAACCAACAATGGTATGTACAATAAACCCTAAAAACGAATGAGGGACGACACAACTGAAGAATCGCCACAAGAAATGCATTAAACCTTAAAAAAGAAATTGATTAAAAGCTTTGAGAACCAGAAAAATAAAAGGTACATTGCGAAACCAAAAAAGGCGTGGATTGAAGTTGCGATCTGTAGCTCCCAATGAAAGAGAAAAAAATTTGCTTCCTAATTATAGGGGACTTGAAGGTTTTTATTTGATTTGATGAGGGATTCGAAAATTTTAAAATTTGAATCATATCTAGTTTCCAAAATAAATAAGCAAAATTAGGGGAGATAGCAGACCTAATTTCTTGATGAATATTGTTGATTCTATGGGATGCGACTCTTAGATTTGGAGGTTCCAGTAACCCACCATCTCCAACAGCTTGGCACTTGACCCGAACCCAAAATAAAACTGCTATTCATGTGTGACTTCATGTATTAAAAAGGACACATAAATTGAACATAAAGAAACATAATAACCAAAACCCGTAAATGGATAGCAAGAAATCATCAAAGGTAAACAAATCCTAGACCAAAAGAGTTTACTTAAACTTGGAATGATGAGGATTGATGAATGGGTTCCCTTATTATAGCTCTCCAATGCCCCATGAATATTTTGATTGTTAAATAAAATCGAACAGAGATAAAGGGAGAAGCCTCACCTGTTATTTGCAATTTAATTGTTGATTTGGAGATGATATTGTAATCGCTGATTATTCAGAACGTTAGGGTTTTAGAATTAATAGGATATACGATATGCGATTATATAGTAGCACAAGGTAGAATTGGAATTTCTGTTTAATAATATGGGCGGGAAAAAAGGCAGGAAGAGAGCTGAGAAAATGTCACGTGGCGAAAAGGTACTGTTTTATTAGAATAGAGGATAATCGAAAATTTTACTAATACTCAAAAAAGTTTGAGTAACACAAATTACCCCGTGCATACACTATGGTCCACCATTACGTCTACAAAAGCTAGAGTTGGTTGATAATAGGTATACACAAAAAAGTTTAATGATCTTAATCCTTATCAAATGAAATGAGTCAAATGAGGATTATATATTTTAGTTGCATTTAATTCCATCATTTTATTGTATTTAATTTCATGATAGGTTAACTAATAATGATTGATATTTTTGTAAAATAGAATTTATTTTTAAAAAATAGACTATTATTATTTTAAGACAAACTAAAATATCGGTTGAGAGTTCACAGACAAGTATTTAAAAGTACACATTTGGTTTTTCAAAGTCTAAATTCTTTTAGAACTATTATTAAGAAAACAATTCAATGAAATGTCAAAGCGTATAAATGGATAAAATACCATATTGATAGAAGATGTAATTAATGAGATTTATTTTTTGCGAAACATGTCTAACTTTTCGAACAAGATTTTAGTCAAAATTACAATCTTTTTGTCAACAATCAACATGTAGAATAATCAAAACATTACGTATTTAACAGCAATTGAATAATATTTTCTCGTTTTTGGTGCCTGAAAAACGTTGACCATGAACAGCTCTTCAGATCACTGCGTCTTTACGTAACGCTCATAAATATTACAGTTGACTTACAGAGATCCATGAAGTTAATCTTTTCTGTATACAGATCATCTCCTTCTTTCATTCAATCAGTTCCATAATTACCAAACTGAAAAAGATGGACATCTTCAGTAATGAAGACACTGAAAAATACGATCGAGCTGATGCACTGAAGGTCTTCGATGAAACGAAAGCAGGTGTAAAAGGATTAGTTGACGCAGGAGTTACAAAAATCCCCAGAATTTTCATCCGACCACACGATGAACTAGTTGAAGAGTTGAATAGCAGCAAGGTAAGCTTACAAATTCCTATTATCGATTTAACAGGCAGTGAAAAAGGTGATCGACGAAAGGAGATCGTTGAACAAATTCGAGTGGCTTCAGAAACATGGGGCTTCTTCCAAGTGATTAATCATGAAATCCCTAAAAGTTTGTTGGATGAAACGATCGATTGTATTCGGATGTTTCATGAACAAGAGAGTGAAATCAAGATGAAGTTTTATTCACGAGATCGAATGAACAAGGTGAGATTTGATAGTAATCTTGACCTGTATCAATCTCGAGCTGCTAATTGGAGGGATACGTTGACTCTGTCGATGTTTATTTTAGATGATCTTAATCCCGATGAAGTTCCTTCAATTTGCAGGCATGGTGTTTCTTACCCTTTCATATATATTTATGTTCTTATTCCCAACTTATAATCGGTTCTTTTTTCTATCACCAAAGTTTAAAATCCAACAATAACATCTATCTTTAGTGGACTTCTTTTTTGAAAGAGTATATTATAAGCTAATTTTGTAGCTATTTTTAGTATTTAATTGGTACAAAAAATGACAACCAACATTTATCCAAATTATTGAACATGAAAACTTTTGCAATTTTAAGACTTTTTTCCTGTGATATTAAACTTCTTAGCCAAATTAGAAATGGATTTATTTTTTGGAAAATAGATAAAAGCTTTCATATGTATATTAATAATATTATTTTTTGTTTAATTTTAATTGCATAGTTTTTTAGTTCAATTGAGAATAGAGGTCACACATTAGTAAGTTGATTGTTTTGGGTTACATTTTATCATACATTAGGCAGTGGAAAACAATTTAACAACTTAACTGAAATTTTAACCGATTAAATGTGTTACAAATAATAAAAAAAACATTAATTATAGAAAATATTACCATAATTAAACGTAAAATACATAAATTATAACTCAACTTTCTAAAATTATCATTTTGAAAAAGTAATAAAAAAAAAAGACAAAATGGAAAACAGTTTAACAACTTAACTGAAAATTTAACCGATTAAATGTATTATAAATCACAAAAAAAAAAACATTAATTATAGAAAATATTATCAATATTAAATGAGAAGTGATATTTCCACTTAATAATTTAATCCATCCACATATACAACACATTTGTAACTATCGTACAAATTGATAGAATATATATTTCAAGTGGATGAATCAATTTATCATTAGAAATATCACTTCCCATATTAAATGCGTAATACATTGATTATAGCTCAACTTTCTAAAATTATCATTTAAAAAAAAAAATGACAAAGCCATAATTATTATATGGTTTTATTTCAGAGAAACAATGCTTGAATACATAAAACACGTGACAAAATTCGGTGGTACTCTATTAGAGCTATTATCAGAAGCCCTCGGACTCCGGCCCCACCACCTCCAAGATTTGGAGTGTTGTCATGGCCGCACTTTCGTGTGCCACTACTATCCGCCATGCCCAGAACCGGAGCTAACCCTCGGATCCAGCAAACACACCGATCCCTCGTTTCTCACTCTTCTCCTTCAAGATAATATCGGCGGCCTTCAAGTCCGCCACCATGACCAATGGACCGACGTTCCACCCCTTGCCGGAGGTTTCGTCGTCAATATTGGTGACTTTCTACAGGTTTTCTTCACCTTTCTAGTTCGTATGCGTTGTATTTTGTTATTATTCCAGCAATTTCTCAGTTGATTCATATCTTCGTAGGAAATATGAAATGTAAATCAAGTACAGAATAGATCATGGATCCCAAACCATGGGTGTCATATACATTTTTTTTTTTTTGAATTACTCTTTTAGATTGTTTGGTGTAACGACTGCTTTTTTTTGCGTGTAGATTGTATCGAACGACAAGTTTAAAAGTGTTGATCATAGAGTGTTGGCTAACCACAATGGTCCACGGATTTCCATGGCATGTTTTTTCACCGGTGTTGCTGTTCCTCCGAAGATTTATGGACCAATCAAGGAGTTAACCTTACAATCTGATGGAAGTACACCTGTATATCAAGATTTCTTGGTAAGTGAGTACATGAACAAATTTTTTACAAAACCTATTGACAAATCCGGCCTTGATTACTTCAAGTTATGAATGATCGTGTACGGGACTCGTTGTTAAGAGGGTTTTCGTTTTATAATTTCATAAAGATTACAAATATTAGATAAGATAATTTCCCACCGTTGGCTATTAGATGGGGGAAATGTAGTGCTTTCTATATTATTTATATGATGTGTATTATATAATGTTTGAAAAAGAAGATGTAGGAATAAAATGTACGAGGATATTTAATTTCTCTTTGTCCAAACATTTGGTAAATATAACACCTTTGGTCCAAACTTAGTCGTTTGTTGCGAAGATGATTCCTATTTGAACCTAAATTGTCATCTTTGGTCCCTCACGCTAACTCTTGTTTTTTACAGTTAAGAACTCTCATGTGCATGTTCATGTGCCATACACATGACGGTATTTTTGGTCCTTTCACAATGCAACGTTCTACATCCCTTCGTTTCTAACATAGTTTAGTAACTTAAGTAGACTCGATCAGGTCCATTGATCCTGCCCAAATGGTGATCGTCCGACTTAAGTAGACCAAGGTTGTAAAACTCGCTACTCAGTACTTGCTCGGCCGACTACCGAGTAGCGAGTACTCGGTGAGTACTCGGATTCGGTAATTCATGTAGAAATATTTTTAGAAAAATTATATATGTCAAAATCAAAAGTTAAAATCATAATTTGATTGAAATATATAACAAAATTATATACATATGAATACATAAAAGCTGAATACACACAATTGTCTCACTTCGTGAATAATTACTGAAATTTAAGATATATATTTAGTAATAATCACATGTTTATGTTAAATAATAAATCATTAAGTGTATTATACATATTAATCATGAAATTCTTGATTTTTTTCTCTTTTTATGACACTTTTGACCCTTTGACCGAGTTTGACTTTGTTGACCGAGTAGGCCCGAGTTAGAGAGATGTTGATCGAGTTTTGACCGAGTTGACCGATTTTTAACCGAGTTTGACTTAATCAGAGTTTTTTTGTCGAGTTCACATAACTCGCCCCGGTGGAGGGCCGATTCCGAGTACTCGACCGAGTAGGCCGAGTTTTGCAACACTGAAGTAGACTCAACTACACATAAATTGTATCAGTGTAAATCATATCATGGTTATTGATTTACTTGTCGAGTGTGAGAAGTAAATGCTACCAATTAGACATGAATTGTATATATGGTTTGTACTCTCTGTTTTTGCCTTTGATTCTTTGACCTCACCTTTGATTCTTATTCCTTTGCTTTCATTATATATTGACAACTATACTTTTATGATACCAACGTTTGGGATTTGATTGTCCGATAAATATTTATTTATTTAGTTGGGTTTTATAGGAGGCTATGAAAACCTATTTAACACATCATGGTAGGATGTTCACCCATCCTCAAGAAGAGGATACCTCAATAGTAGAGTAGACTATATTGATGTTATTAACATTAAGGACTTTATAATTGTTTGATCTTTTTAATATGATGATAGAACTTAAGAATGATAAAAATATCATCGTTTCTCACCGTTTCACGATGCCCCATATCGATGTGGATAGTAGAATTATATCCCTAGAGGATGATAAATATATTGTTTTTATGTCTTCGAGGTTGTTTAATAGTTTCTGATTGATTTAAGGCCCGACTGAGTAATATCAACCTCTTATCAGATATTGTAAGAGGCATATTAGCGGCTATAAGACTAAATCAAAAGCTTCTATTTATGACATCAAACTATGTGAATTTGACCGAGTCAAACCTAATGTAACATCCCAAAATACGACCCAAAAATTTTTGTTTAACAATTACTAAAAACATCATGACAATATCATAATGTAAAACTCGTACGTCAAAATCTCAAAAACAATAGCAAAGTGTTATGAGTAAACTGTATCAAGACTGTATCAAATCACATCTTTGAGAAACTAAAAACAACTCCCAGGACAACTGAAGTTGTGGTGTGTGCGATGCCATCAACCTGAGCTCTTCCCTTTGCTTGCGGAAGTACCTGAAACCAAAACTGAAACTGTAAGCACGAAGCTTAGTGAGCTCCCCCAAACTACCACATACCATACAATACATATAAACACATACTGTGCCTTACCCACTGCATCGGACCGAAGTCCGGAAACTGCATCGAACCGAAGTCCAGAACCAACCAGGGCCTTGCCCTCTGCATCGGACCGAAGTCCGGAACTACTGAGGCCTTGCCTCCTGCATCAAACCCAAAATCCGGAACTAACTGCATCGGACCGAAGTCCGGAACTAACTGCATTGGACCGATGTCCGGAACTGACTGCATTGGACAGAAGTCCGAAACTACTGAACATAGCATAGCATAACATATCAACTAGCATGAACACATAAACTGCATACTGCATCGGGTTGTAACCCAGAGCACATAACACATAAATCCTGTCGGAGCCACGAAGGCGTCAAACATACTAGAATCTGCATCGGACCGAAGTTCGGAAACTACTACTAGCTAATCGGGCCGGCATTGTGGCCTTAGACCCGTTCCTACTGGAAGGAAACTCACCTCGTGATCTGGATGCTGAGTGTATGGCTCTGGAAGCTATCTGCTGCTGCTCCGGTGTCTCCCCGGCTACAATTCCACAAATACACTCAATAAAATACTAATAACTGCATTGGGGTAAAATGACTCTTTTACCCCTGGCTAAAGTCAACTCTCCTGGTCAAAGTAAATTTACAGTTGACCTGACTCGCCGAGTTGGGCCGCCAACTCGCCGAGTCCCTACTCTCACTTCTCTACCCTGTTCGTTGCTACTCGTCGAGTATGGCATAAACTCGACGAGTTCCTTTTCGATTCTAGAACTCAGGCTATCTGCATCCGACTCGCCGAGTTGTATGAACAACTCGACGAGTTGTTGTTGAATCTATGAAGATTGCCTTAGACTCGCCGAGTTGTATGAACAACTCGTCGAGTCCCTCCATTACTGAGTCTAACCTCCGACTCACTGAGTCCATCCTACTACTCCCTAGTCCCCACTCGGAATCACTCAAAGGGGAAAGATCGGGGACTCGCGGCTCGACTCGCCGAGTCCGAAGAACGACTCGCCGAGTCACATGCATGCAGTTACTAAAAACTCGATTCTGCTCAAAACCACTGCATACAATATATAGATCTGAGTTTCTAAGGCTTGTTTACCACGTAAAGTTTCCAACTTTACGTGTACATACGCATGAAAAGGGATTTAAAGGTTAAAAAGGCACTTAAAAGAGTAGATCTATGGTTATCATGCAAAATGGCTCAATAAAGGTGTTAGATCTACGTTTTTGGAACTGAAACATGGCTAGATCCGAAGGCTAATCAAACAAATGTGATCTCTCTACTATAAACAAGCTAAGAAATGGATAAAATGGACTAAATGTGCTTATAATGGAGAATCAATCATAGAGACAGAAGGAAATCCGATTATTACCTCAAAAAGCTCTGTAGTGGTGCAAGATCTTGGATCTTCTTCTACTCCTTTGGATCTAGCCTCCTTCTTCTCTTCAAAACTTCAAGATTCACACAAGAAATGCTCAAATACTCAAGGGAATGGTTAGGGTTTGCTAAATGATGCTCTGAGGGTGAAGGAGACGAGTTTGGGACTCATAAAATGGTTTAAATAGGGTGCAAACCTAAGGATTTAGGGTTTCTACCTGGCAGGCGGACTCGCTGAGTCCAGAATATGGACTCGTCGAGTTGCCGATCGATACACTGCTTAATATCCCGTCTCTACTCGACGAGTCTGGCAATAGACTCACCGAGTCCCTCTTGAAACTTCTAAATAAATAACATGAAATCACCATACCAGAGACGAGTCGTTACACCTAACCTCTTCCCAACCTCCTACCAGACCCAGTAAGAGGCTTGTCGAACAACCCATAACTTTGTTGCTCAAAACAAGGAAATACATATGTAAACTAGAACATGGCATTTCCTTACCAATATTATCCCATGAAGATTATCTCATATATAGAAGGATCACTAGTTGATGAAGATTAGAGGTTATGATGTTTCTAAATCCATTATTATATATGGGCAGTTTGGTCATAAATGGTAGATTGCTGGAAGCGTGTCTGGGTATTGGGAGCGGGTTATGATGTAGGATTGACTAAGATATTAAAGGGATGGTGAGAGTGGTGTTAGTTGGTAAGTGGTTAGGATGATTGTGGTTCTTGTGATTGATAGAGAATCTAACGGTTACATATATTAAGTTAAGCAAATCTTTCCTTTTTAGTACTAGTGAAGTATTTTAGGGCTGGTCTCCACGAACATTTTGATCTGAATTTTTCATGAAGAGCCACTTCCCCCTCTTTTGTGAAGATACTTGTTTTTGAGCTTTGAAATAGGAGGTTCAGAGACAAGTATGGTGACCGGTCAGGAATTATAATGTGGGGTTTTCATGACAAATTAAATTGCTGGTTGGTAAAGCGCAAGAGCAGAAACGTGGAGTATTACAGGCACAAAAATGACTTTTCTTCATGGAAGAAGGTGGACCTCATTGAACTTGCTAATGCTCCATTTTCAAACCTAGCTAATGATCCACGAGGAATGGATTTTAAACTCTTCTTAGAAATCAAGTAAAGAGGAAATTCGATGGAATAAAGATAGCTGAATCCTTCGTGAAAAGAGCCAAATATGTTTTAGACCCTAAGATCAACAAGAGCTTCAATATCGTAATGTGGCCTCCTACAACGTAAATGAAACAGATTCCTATTGTTAAGCATTTTTGTGATGGATCTCTGGACAATATGGAGTTTTGGGTTTATAATAAAGCTACAGCCACTACAGCCATCAAATTTCCAACCGACATTTTCCGACTAGTTGAGGCAAAGGATCTTTTGCAATTTAGTGAATGCGACATTTATACTCTAGCTCGACATCAAATTGTGGTCAAGACTGAAATTCTAGAGCCTGCTGCTAAAGAATTCACACGAGTGGTCGCAGAGATTATTAGCAAGAAAATGTGTCCAGGAGCAATGGGAAGGTCAGGCGTGCTTATCATTGAGAAGGATTGAGCTTATGCTAGCCTCATACCAAGGGGGAGATTTTTAGGTCATATTTTTGTTGGTTTGAGCTAGGTATTCATTTGTATGAGTCTTGTTAGTCTTTATTTGGGTGTTATAGGGTTTACAGTTCGGTGAACCGAAAACAGGGTGTTTTTGGTTCAATTGGTGTTTGCGCTTGCTGGTCTATTTGCGGCCGTGAACTCATTTACGGTTCATGTTCCCTATAAATAGTGTCGTTGTTGTCAGAAGTAGTGTTCGATTATGTGTGTGTGTGTGTCCATTGTACCAGACGTTTTCGGTTCAATAGAAACATGTGCAATTTGGATCATTCTTGCTTCTACTCCTGGTTCTTATTGATTATTGCTTGTTCTTGTGTTTGATCACTAGTTGGTTCCAGATTTGGGGACTTACCGGGTGGGAGAAAAAAAAACATTCTTCATGTTAGTGCCATTACATCTCATTCGGTTGAAAAGTTGGATCATAACCCAAATATGGAAGGATATTCTTATAAGTTTCTCATACCCAATTACACTACTAACCGAAAATGTCTCGAAAATCCAAATCTATCAAATTCATGTATCTTGATATTAGCTAATAGAAAATGTTAAAAAAATAAATTATAAATAAAGTTTATTTTACCTTGAAAGTGTATATAAACTCGTTTAGGATGTATGTATTTTTTTGTTTAGTTTCTTTACTTTGACGGGATGAAAAAGTTCATAAACTTTGGTAATTACCATCTTTAGTTTACTATACAACTGCTCCCAAATTATCATGCCCTTAGGATATCTATGTTACCACACAATAAAACATTATTAACATCAAAATAATTACAAAGTATATATATATATATATATATATATATATATATATATATATATATATATATATATATATATATATATATATATATGACAAAGAAGATGATACATGTTAAGTCCTCAAAGTTAGATACCTACCCTAAGAACTACTCCTTCGTGTTAAGTCCTGAAATTTGGACCGCATCCTTGTCAGATAAATTATCAAGATAATTTTCAAATAAACTCTTTATAGTTTCCAAACTTGCCGAGTCTCTTAGAACAACCATATGAAACACACATAATTGGAGATTGTAAATAGAATCCAAAGCCGGGAAATACATATCAAAATGGAACTTGGTTTCAAGACAAAATTCATAAGGGACTCACCCAAAGACAACTTCCAGAAGTCGTTA